AACTTTGAGAAAGTGTCAGACATCTTTCTGACCACCTCACCACTGCTACCCTATTTCAGGCCTGCATCGGCTCTTGTCTGACAGTAGCTTCCTAGTCGATGTCTCTGTTTCCACTCTTGGTCCCCATGGTCTGTTCTTCACACAGCAGCCAGAGAGCTCATTACTGAGAAGGCAAGTCAGACCATTGTTCACACCTCTGCTCAGAACCCGCCATTTGCTTCATATCTCACTCCTTATAAAATCCAATATCCTTATCCTGCCTTGCGAGGACGTGAGTACAGTATCTGCCCCTTTGTACCTTTTGGACATTCATATCACTCTCTGTCTCCCTCCCTGCACTCCAGCCATACTAGTCTGTTTGTTTTTTTTCTTTTTCAGACATACGTAACATGTGCTCACCTTGCCCTTTCTACTTACTGTCTTCTGCCTGAAATGCACCTTCTTCTCAAGGCTCGTTTCTTTCACTCAAGTCTTTACTCAAATGTTAAATTTACCTACGGGTCTTCCTGTGCTTTGCCCATCTGAAATAACATTTCATTACCTTAATCCTCTTACCATGCTTTACTTAACCTTACGGACTCAATGTAATTAAGATGTATTTATCTGTTTCTCTGCCTTCTAAGAGAGGACTTTCTCTCCCTATTTCTGTTAATTATTGTAGCCTCAACCCCTAAAATGGTGCCTGGCGAATGCAGGAAACTCCACTTATTGTCAATAATCTTTTCCTGAAAATAGCAGATTCTGCGCTAAAACACTATTTCTCATTATTTTATGTAGGAAAAATTATAATGCATTATCAGTTTAGAACTCTAGTTTTCTAAAATGTAGGTTCATAAAATTTATATATTAATGACAATCATGGTGGAATAATGTGTAACATATTATACCGTTATCACTAAACAACTAATGTGATTGTAGATAGGCAGTTTTCATGTGTAGTAATATTTGCTCTTGAATTTTTTTTTTTTTTGAGAGGTTTTTGCTGTAGGGCGCATGCGCATGTGCTTGCCAGAAAGACAGAGACAGAGATAGGAAGCGAGAAATCACCCCCCAGGGGAGATGGCCATGCCGCAATCCCTTCTCCTTCATTCTCCTCTTGGGATCTTGGGCACGCATGCGCACACGCCCGGTGTGAGTTTAAGCCACTGGGTCTGGGACTCAAACCGGGGTTCAGCGACCATAGCCATTATGCTAACTGCTGGTCCTGATTTTTTTTTATTTTTTAATAATTGCCGTAGGGCACATACAGTCAGCAGAGAGAAAAACAGAGAGCTAGAGAGAGGGAGAAGCACCCCCGACAGGGCGTGCTCATGCCATAATCCCTTTTCCTCCATTTCTTCATCCTATCAAGATTTGGGTCAAGCTTCCAAGGCTGAGATTCAAATCACTGTCAGCCACATGATTCCTACTCCATTTAACACCTACGCTACAGGGCCAACCTTGTCTTTTTGTTTGATTTCTTTTATTGCCAAAGAGTCATTTGTATGTGACAGAGAGGGGGACTCTCACCCACCCTAACAAATCCTGGTCATGCCACAGCCCTTTTCCCTCTTGTTCTGCATCTTGTCTGGATCCTGGGCACATGTGTGCATGTACCCAGGTGTGAATCCACTGGTCCCTGGACTTGAGCCTTGATGGGTCACATGGGACCTGGCTACCTCTTTGTGTAGCTCCTAACTAGTGCACAGTGGGACTGGCCCTGCTCTTCCATTAGTTGCTGTCCTCAATTACTTTGATTCTTTGTCCACATTTTTTCTTTTTTTTTTAATTACTTTTTAAATTTTAATTTTATTTATTTATTCACATATTCTTAATGTGACAGAGAAAGACACAGAGAGAGATAGAGAGAGAGAGAGGGAAACTGAGAAAGCAAGCCACCAGGTCTGGGACTCGAACCGTGGTCGGCCATGTGGGAGTGTCCAGCACCTTAGCCACCATGCCACCTGCTGGTCCCTGTCCATAGTTTTTCTTGACACTTCCTCAATTTTTTGAGGACTCATTGTGTAAATAAACAGCAAAAATACAACTCATTATGAAAGGTACTGTAGACATTTACTCAGGGTAAGTGAATAAGAGCAGAGAGCGGCCCCACTTAACTCTGAGGCTGATGCCTCTCTTATCTCTAGCAACAGTGGAGATCTGTTGACACTTAATGAACTTTTCTAAAAGTACATCTGGAGTCTGTTGTTATACCAGTTTTATTTAGAATGTAACTTGATATTTTACTGATGCATTATTTTGTTAAAAATATTACATTGAAATTTGGAGACAGAAACATAAATTTTCCTATATAAACTTTTGACCAAACTTACTAGGTATTGGGAGAAAGAGCTCTGATGTATCATAGTTGTATATTCAAAATCAAGAGGCATTCTCCAAGGGAGTAAAAATTTATGGGCTATATCTTTATTTGTTGAAGAAGTCCATGTGTACATTGCATGCTTACTAAGAGTATGCATATTTTTCTTTGTAATAGAGATTTCATTAGATTTAGTTAGAGGTAGAAGAGGTTTATGAAACATACCACCTGGCACAATTAATAAAAACTCTTGTGAAATATCATTTTCTTCTTTAAAATTTGTCTGTGTCTGGTTTTTTTTTTTCACTCTTTGATGTTTTGAGTTTTGAGATTTTACTGTTTTTGAAAATAAAACCAAGAAAAGTCATGAAATAAGATTACTAGCAAAGAAGATACAGTTGTTATTGAGCAAAAATTCACTGTTTATCACCACAAAGTGCCAAGATAGGATATCTATCACTAGAATTTCTAGGTATTTTGGCAAGAGTGCTATTTTAATGGAAGTAGCATAGAGGGAACTATAATAAAAGGAAAAAAGATAGATTTGGTATTGCAGGCCTGCTTTCCCACACTGAAGATAGAGCCCCTAATCTTTGAAGTAGATAACCAGAAGAAGGAGATCTCTTCTGTCAAAGATAAACACAGCTGGATGGACATATACTGATCAGTAACTTTCTGTTGCAATAGGAAGAAGAGACCAGCCTGAACTGCGCTCAACTTTAATTTGCGTAGTGGTGACTGGACATTTTAAAGGGAGACTGAGGCAAGAGGGAAGGGATGAGCCAGGGCCCATCAGGGAAGTGGAAAGTTTGAAAGGTAGGGTGAGGGCGCTTGTCCAGGAGCGACCATCTGAGCTTGCTAACACGTACTTAGGGAAGTTGGGCTGCTGGCCTTTCCACGGACTAGGAGACTACCTTCAGACTTGGCTGGAACAAGCAGAAAATGTTTTCAGCAGCCTTGCATTTTCTCAAGCTAGCACCTTAGGAAGGGGCTGGGCACATCCCAGGGGTGCAACCTTGAACTGGTAGGAACCATGTTAAGGGTTTCTTCAAGTCTTTATAGGCCAAGGTTGAGCCTAGTCAGGAAGAGGCTCCAGGGAGCCCAGTGAGAATATGGTAAAGGGGGAGAACCTTTGTCATTTCCTACCCAAGAAAATGACTGTGAATCAGATCCTATCACTCCCCTTCTTTTCAACTCTCCATGATGTCCCAGTAGTCTTAGCATTGAATCCAGTCTTCTGCAGCTCACAAAGCCTAATCCCACCTGTATTCCCAACCTTATGTCACGCCCTGTATCCTGCAGGGCTTCCTCAGAAACCTCCCCAAATTTCTCAACCTGTCATAATTCCTCAGTCTCCTCATCTCTTGCTTCTTTCTTAGAAATATTTGCTTATAACTTGCATCTGCTGGTATTCAGTTTATTTGTCTGCTGCTTCTTGTCCCACTTGCCTATACCACAGTATAATGCTGGATCTCGTTTACCATTGAAAGCCCATCACCTAGTAGGGCTAGGCACATTGTAGGTGCTACTGAAGGAATGGAGATTCTTCAGAGAAATGTTTGTGTGAGTTAAAGCAAATAATTGCAGACTTGATTGACAAGATATAAAGAAAAAACATACTAAGTTGTTTAGTAACTTGCATCGACTAAATCTGTCACGTACCTAAATTTTAAAAAATTTTGTGGAATATATATATAACAAAATTACCATTATAATGATTTCTGAATGTATAGTTCAGAGGCATTATGTACATTTATTTAGTTGTGTAACCATCACCACCACTAATTCCCAGAACTTCGTCTCCCCAAACTGAAAGTCTATCCTCATTAAATACCAGTTTCCATCCCTCTTCCCTCAGTCCCCCCTGAAAACCATTCTGCTTTCCCTCTCTATGAATTTGTCTACCTAGAGTCAAATTTTAAGTGAAATTATGCAGTATTCGTCCTTTCATGATTGCCTTATTTCACTTGGCATAATGTCTTTAAGATTCAACCATGTTTTTTTCCTGTACACACACACACACACACACACACACACACACACACCACATTTTGTCTGTTCATTTTCCCTTAGATGAACCCCTTGAGTTCTTTACTTTTGTCTGTTGATAATAATGATGCTGTGAATGTGGGCATGTAGATATCTACGCAAGTGTCTTTTTTCATTTTGGGGGTGGTAGAATTGCTGGATCATGTGGAAAAGTTATTAAGTTTTTGAGGAACTAAATTCTGCCTTCCATAGCTGCTGCACCATTTTATATTCTCCTTAGCAGTGTACAAAGGTTTCAGTTTCTCCACATCCTAGCCAACACTAGTTATTTTCTGTTTCTTTTATTTTTAGGAATTTTTTTGGGGGGGGTATTTTTACTAATAACCATCCTAATGAGTGTAAACTGTTGGGTCATCAGAAAACTCATGACATATTTTTCTATGGTTTTCTATGCAAAAGTGCATCATGATTTTTCCAAAGACCCACTAGTTTCTCACTATAGTTTGGATTTGTATTTCCCGGATGACTGGTGATATTGAGCATCTTTTCATGTTTTTATTGGACATTTGTGTATCATACAGAAATGTCTATTCATTGTCTTTTGCCATTTTTAAATCAGGTTGTTTATTATATTGTTGAGCATCTACATATTTTTTATGTACTAGGAAAGCATATGTGAATACTTAAAGCATGTCTTCTTTCTTACTATTAGTGGTGCCAAGTATAATTTGCTAGCTCATACTACTCTAACCTTGGAAAGTGTTGAGGATAGCTTCAAGACCCATAATCTGTCTGTAAGTGGAAATGGTAAGTACATTATATATTTTACTTATTACCCATATTGTGTCTATATGTATGTGGTGACAGTGATAATTTCTGACTTATTATGGCCCCCCAGAGTGGATATTGGCTTAAATAATGTAGGCATGAAATCTACTCTGGTGGCACAGTGGGTAGCAACCTGAACTGAAGTTCTGAAAGCCCCTTGGCTGACCGCAGGCTCAGATACCTGGTCTAGTTGGCTTGAAAACATGCTGGGCACAGAGGAATACCTAGGATTAGATGAGGGTTAGATGAAGGGGATTGTAGCATGGTGAGACCCTGTTAAGCCTGCTTCTCCTCCTGTCTTTTTCTCTCTTTATCATGAGTAAAATAAATGTGTTTTTAAAAATAAATAATGTAAACATGTGTGATTGTAAGGTTTGCCAAACGTTTATTTTTCTCTCTTTATACTGAAATTTGCTTGTGAGGCTAAGAGCAGAAAGGTTTTGAGTATTGAATCTTTATCTTTGACTTGAAATTGATGACTTCACCACTCTTTTAGCTATAAATCAAAGTTCTCTCCAATGTTTATATTTAGAACTGAGGAAATCAACATTTTTGTTGGTAGAATGGGGAGGATATAAGAGAAGGTAGGACTAAATTAACCATATCCTTTTTCTTTCTGAATGATAGTGGTAGATGTAGTTTATCCAAAGAAAATACATAGCAAGGTGAAGAAGGGGATTAGGTGAATGGGAAGGTTTGTAAAACTTGGCATGAGCACTCTTCAGTACTTATATTATGTTACCTGTGAAGAAAAATGTACAGTAGCAGGACCAGCAGGTAGCGTGGAGGTTAAGATACTTGGACTCCCACATGGCAGATTGTGGTTCGAGTCCTGGACCCATTGGCTTGGACCAATGGTACAGGTATAGGTGTACCAGGTACAGGTGTGCCCATGCCCAAAATTCTAAGAGGAGAATGGAGGAAAAGGGATTGCAGCAAGACCATCCTCTCTAGGGGTAAGTTCTCACTTTCCGTCTCCCTGTTTCTCTGTCTTACTAGTCAGTGCTCATGCCCCATAACAAGAAAAAAAGAAAAAAAAAAGAGGAGGAAAATGCACAGTAGTGTTGGTAAGGTAGTTTGGAAATGTAATTTGGATTATTTACTTTAGGATATTTTCTGAAGTAAAGATATAAAATTATGTGACAAATGTACTGTCTCATGCTTGTTATTATAAAGATTAGTGGTCCTGTATTAACATGATTGATGATAACAGTAATTTTGGTTTACAATTTAAAATTACATTAAAAATAGAGAAATGCTTATTAAATGCAAATATACAGCGTAACAAATAATTATGAGATGTGTATCTGCACAACCACCCTCACATCAAGAGATAAAACATTGCCAACACTGCCTTCCTTCCATTACCGTGGTACAATCATATCCCAGCATTTGTGTCATTGCTTCTTTGCTTTTCCTTATAGTTTTACCACCTCTGTGTGCTTCTCTAAATAATATAATATAGTATTGCCTGGTTTGAACTTTGTGTAGATGGAATTATACTATATCTTCTTCGAAATTTGTTCATTGTTCAGTATGCATTTCATTACTTACGGTAATGATATCACTGTTTATCTCTTACGCGGATTCAGTTACATTTTATAGGATTCTTCAGCTTTTATGTTCCTCAAGTCAGTTTCAATAAGTTCTATTTTTATAGCTATATAGCCGTCTGATCTAATATTTGAGGATTATAACCATTAACTTCTCCATAATATCCTTACATTGAATTTCTGCAGCATCGCTAGCCTTGCAATTCACTTCCCTTTCTGTTTCTGATCATGGTTATTTGTATCTTCTCTGTTTTTCTATTCTGATTCTTGTAATAGGTTTGTCAGTTTTATCATTTACTAGTATGTTCTATGTATGCTTATTATGTGTTAGGAATGAAGATCATAGTCTAAGATATTCTATATAACTGCAGGAGGTATGATAAAACCTCATACTGTGGTCGTAGATTTTTCTAGTACTCATAGTTACGTAATTTTTACTCTATCTAGCTTGAGCATTTGTTATTTAGTGCACACAATTTTTTAAAATAATATTTGTCAGAGGGTATATACATGCATCAGCGATACACAGAGAGACAAAGAGAGGGAGGGAAAAGGCACGTCCTAATGGCACATGGTCATGCCACAATTCCTCCTTCTCCATTTCTCTATCCTTTTGGTATTTTTGCCACACATGCACATGTGCCCACCATGTTTTCTAGCCACTGGGTCCAGGATTTGAATCTCAAAGTCAGCCATGTGGAATTTGACTCCCTTAACCACTAGTCCACGAGGCTGACACTTGCACCCAATTTTTTTTTTAAGATGAATTTTTTGTTATAGAGCATGTAGAGTCACCAGAGAGAAGGAGATAGAAAGGCAATAAGCAAGATATCAGCTCCCTGGTGAGGAGGGAGGGGTGATGACCACTCCTCAATCCCTTTTCCTCCAATCTCTCAGGATTTGGGGCATGCATGCACACGCCCTTGGCATGAGTTTTAAGCTGCCAGATTCAGGACTTGAATCATGATCAACCACATGGGAGTCCACCAATGTAACCATCTGCTGGTCCCCATGCACACAGTTTTAAATTGTGCATTTTGTTTTGTCCTTTTACCTCAAACTGTGCTTATTTTTATGTTAAGACATACTTCTTCTAGAAGTATTGTGTTGGATTTTAACTTTTATCTAATTTGGTAATCTTTAATGAAGCTTTTAGTCTTTTTGTATTTAGTATTAAATAGCTATATAGTTGTATTTACATCAATCACGATATCTTGTGTTTTCTGTTTGTCCAACTTATTCCATGGTTCTTTTTTTTTTTCTTTTTAAGGATTTATTACTTTCTTCATTTCAGTTTTCCTTGTTCTAATTAACATTATACATTCTTTTTCTCATCTTTTAGTTGTTACCCCTAAAATTTTTATTAATCATATTAAAGTCAAAGATTGAAAGATAGTTATCTTTTTCTCACATAATGCAGGGACTTTAGAACAGTTAAACTCCACTTCCTTGCTTTGTTATGTATTATAATTTTATGGTTTTTTTTTAATTTTGCAAAACATTTTATGTATTTTAATTTTTATTTATATTTACCTATATATAAATCTGTGTACATCTTGTATCTTGTACCTTGCTTTCTTGCTTCAGGGATTATTTTTCTTCTGCTTGAAATATAATCCTGACAATTTCTTTTAGTTTGTTTTGCTGATGTCAAACTTATTTCCTTTTGTTTGAAGATGTTTTTAGCTCTTTTTAAAAATGATCTTTTAAGGCTTTTGCCATAAGGTGTGTGTGTTTACCTGGGAAAAGGGGATGGAAAGAGAGAGAGAGAGGGAGACATCCCCAGGGGATGGCCATATGGCAATCTTTTCTTCTCTATTTTCCTCCCAAGATTTGAGGAATGCATCCACACGTACCTGGCTGCATGGTCTGGTACTTGAACTGCAGTTGGCCATGTAGAAGTTCAGTGCCCTAACTACCACACCACATATGGCCCTTATTTTGCTTTCTTTTTGTAATTTTTTTTTATAAGATTCAGAGTGTGGCACCTTTCTTTTTGAATATTAAAGATATGGTTACTATTCTCTGGCTTCTGTTATTAGTTGTTAAGAATCGTTTGTCAGTATGTCCTCTGTAAAGGTAATTTTTCTTTTCCTTTGACTTTGATTTTCTGATCTTTCACTGATATCTTTAGGTATAGGACTTATTTTTATTTATGTTGCTTGGGACTCTTCAAACTTCTTGAAATTGTTGATTGATGTGTTTCATCATTTTGGATGATGACAAAATCTCACTCCCTATTCAGAAAGCCTCCATTTCATTTTCTTCCTTTTCTTTTTATAGCATGCATATTGAGCCTATGTTAGTTTTTCTCATTTTATCCTCTAAGTTTCTTGCCTTTTATGATGTATTTTTTAGCTTTTTGTCTGTCTTTGGTGTCTTTCTGAATATTTTTTTGACCTCTCTCCCACTTCTTTTATATTCTCTGCCACTCTGTCTGATCTGCTATTAACCTATATATCAGCTTCTTCATTTCAGTTATTTTTTCTCAGCTTTAGTAGTTCTATTTGACTTTTTCAAATCTGCTGCCTCACTGTCTATGCCCTGAATACATTGTTAATATTACCTTCTATGTTTTGTTTTCTCTTTTAGAGAGAGATTTTTACTATAGGGTGCATGCACTCACTGGAGAGACAGAGAGACAAAAAGTAAGAAATCACCCCTCAGTGGGGATGGCCATACCACAGTCCCTTCTCCTCCAGTCTCTTCTTGGAGTTTTGGGCACACACACACATGAGCCTGGCATGAGTTTCAAGCTGCCGGTCCAGGATTCAAGCTGCTGTCAGCTACGTGGGAGTCCAGCTTCGTAACCATTATGTCATCTGCTGGTTCCTATTTTCTATGTTTTTAATAAAAGAGTAAGGATAGTTGTTTTATAGTCTGTGTCTAATAATTCATATATCTAAAGTCTTTCTAGGTCTGTTTTTTGTTTTGTTTAACTGGTTCTCATGCTGTCTTGATTCTTTGCATGTCTGGTTATCTTCGTGGGCTTGTCACTCTAATTGGACTTACACACGTAAGAATAAACTGATGCTCAGTATTTGTTTGCTTACGACAAGCACCTGCTTGAGCTTCTCCAAGGACCATGCCCGAGTTTCTCTGGACCCCTCCCAACACTGTCTCCACCCTCAGGCAATGGGAAACCCCCAGGGTCGGGCTTTTCACCCTTACACTGTTGACAATCCCTTTAGGAATTAGCTTGGTATCTAGAGATTCACCATTTAAACTACTTATATTGTGCAGTCCCAGGACCGATTTTTCTTCTGCTTCCTTCACCTTGCAAGATTATTAAATCATAAATTCAGATGTGCTGGAGTTGGTAAGTGCTTTCAACACAAACATAGCTTCTGTGCTCACTGAACTTGTTGGTTCTCATTTATCCTCAGGTTTGTCCTGATAATTTCCTCTGGTCTCATTACCATTTTG